TATAAATTCCGGCTGCTATAACACAGAAGAGCGATGTCTCAGTGAAACGGTTTTAGGTGTTTTCACTTAACTACTGGTGCATGACCGCAGTTCACTCGGGAACGACTTCTCGCATCCACAAGTGAAAGTTTAGTGTCAGGATGGATGCTCTAAGAGGACATGACGAGTACTGCTTCTCCCTGTTGCCCCGTGAATCCATGTATTTTTCGTTTCACAATATTCGAAAATAGGTTGTGATAAGGAAGTTTACCAGCTTTAAGGTAAGCTACTTGTCGGGACAGCATAATATACGGATGGAGTGCACAAACAGTGTAATTTATTCGAGTAGATAGATCATATGGAAAGGGTTCCCAAAGATAACAAGAACAGACCAATTAGTAGTTGTTGGGTATTTGACGGGAAGTAAATAGATAACCGAAATAAACCAGCATAAAAAATGGAAAGGACGCAGAAGAGTATGGTATTATGCTTCGAACTGATGCGCTCGTGGGATCGAACGGAAATCGACAGTAGCAAACTATTTTCGGGCGAGCAATTAGTCACGGAACTTTCTGTTGTCATTCACACCGAACAAAATCTCGCGCAATTGTGGCATCATTTGCTCACTGATTTGATCCAAACGACTCTCCAGCGTATTGATCACCTTAATTCGTCCATCACGACTGGATAGCTCCACGCCTCCGGCCCTGAAACGAGTGAGGATACATAAACAGGTTGTGGGCAGTTTTCATCACTAGCTGACGATACTGAATTGCAATATCATATCATATTACTTTGCGAACAAGGCTTTTTTAACCGAGATGAAAAATAACTTCTAAGCCAGAAGCAAATTTCCGTTGGTTAGAATATCTGGNCCCCGTGTGTGCGCGAGCCGTTGGCTTATTGTATCGCTTATTTCTCTTCTAAACCGGACAAGGAAGTTCAGGCGGAACCAGAGGATAAACTATTGTAAGAAACGGGATATGATTAAACAGCAAACACTGCTAATGAGGTCTTATTAAATTGTCGACCCTAAGACTCAGGAAACCGATAGTTGTTCAGGTACACTTAACCCTACTGCCGCCGTGTTTGAAATCAAAATTTGTCTATGACACGAACCGAATGCAACATTGACTACTTATGCAATAAAGGAACGAGCACTTATGATACAACACTGTTCCAAACAAAAAAGTATGAAACGGTGGGAACATGAGGCACAATATGACGGCTAATTTAACAGCACTTTGTGCTGCATATCCCGAGTATCTTAGTTTAATATTTCGGCAGAGATGAGAAAAAGCACTATCGGGAGAGGAATTTCTCACACGCGGTCGGAAGAGGAAGCGTTCGTCACAGCCTTCAACACGATTTTCTGTGTGAAATTCAACAGAATTGCTTTCATGGACTACTCACTTACTAACCTCTGCCATCAATGTTTCAAACGCTTTGCAATTCAACATGTGCGATCGATGATGAATTCCTTTTGTGACATTGAAAACAAAATCGTAACATTGAAAACAAGTCGCTTTTTCCATAGATTCATGGACTGGCCATATATGTACATTTAAATAGGTAGAGCATTTAATATTGTTTGATCCCGTGCGAGGTGGATTGTATTGCCCTATGTACAAAGAGATGCTACGTGCGTCAAAAATTTGCTTGAGCTTTCCTTGGTTATGACGTCCTTCCAGTTACCACTTTCGCTTGGCGACCGGCTATGGTAGAGATAATATGTGGATGAAACTCTTCTGATTGCCAGTTGATGAATTTGTCGAAAAACAGCTCGTTTCACTGATTGAATTTTAGTTTCAATGTTAGAATTACTTTTTTTATTACACACCAGTGTATGATGGACAGCACTCGGGGCGGACTCCATAGTCACGAAGACCTGCTGTTCAGTGATGGTAACCAGCAACCTAAGCCTCGGGGCTTGGAGTGGCGAACCACATAAGGCCCCGCTACGTCAGGCGTGGTACAGAACCGGGCGACAGCAAAGCTGTTTTGTCTAACTCGTGTTTATTCCAACGAAGAGACGAGGATAACAGATTTTTGTCTCAACCCTAGCATCGACAATCGTTGATCAAGGGCATATGTAACTTGTGGTTTCACCATATCCAATGGGTTGATCAGTGCGTGAAAATTCTGAGTGAGCTGTAGAAAGTTGTGCTTACAAAGATCAATCAAGTATAAATTCAAAAGTCATTTTCATAAAAGCACTTACGAAGATTCCGGTAAGCAGTCTTTGGCAATAGATACTTTGCAGTTGATTTTGGTTAGTTGTTGGTAGCTGGCCAAACAGGATGGTAACAGGCTCTGCATGGCGAACAGAGAAGTGAAAGTATTAGCATAAGCAGCGCAACAACTACAAATTTTGGGGAAAATCATCGAAAACAGAAACCCAGAGAACAATGTTTTACAGCATCGGTTTTTAACCTAAGTGAAAGGATGAAACGGGTATGCGCCGTTCTGGAATGCGAGATTAGTTCTATATGTTTTTGACATATCGATAACTTATCGAAGAATACACGTTGACTGTG